AGACCATTTTTTACAAATGCTGCATGAACTATTAACTGAGTCAGTATACAGGGGTATACAAACTCAGGGATTCCTTCTAGAATTATATTATAATTCTATTATTGCATAAATTATTTGAATAAAACATTCTAAAGTTTCACTTAAGCTTTTAAAAAAAAAAAACAGGTTTGAATTATAGTTATTTATATCAACTTTAAAAAAAAATCAAAAGTAAATAATCATTTCTTATAATTAAAAGAATAATCACTCAATAGAATTGAGGATGTATGTAACAAATTTTACAAACATCCTCAAAAAAGTTTGAAAAAACAAATTAAATTTTGAATATAAAAATATTCAGAGCACCTCTTTGAAATATCTCATTAACTAAAGTTACATATACTATTTACCTGCTGTTAAGTATTATGGTTATATGTTATAGTTTATACAAAGGCTGACTTTTTTATATTATTAAACTGTATATTATTAATTTTACAACATATCTATATATTATTAAAGTTGCAGTTAAATAATTATATAAATATGTTGTTGAGTTTATTTGCATAAAAGATTGATTACATCGCATATTAAATTCTATTTGCAGCAATGCTCTTTGTTTTCGATTTCTTGACATGATATGGTTTTATTGGTAATTAAAATATATATCTCGACTGAGTAGAAAAAGGTTTGCCATAAAATTATTTAACATATAAGCTAAGTCAAAACTATGTAACAAGTTCTTTATTGTGCTTTGAGATCTTATACAGCTGTGAGATCGGTTTAACTGTGTGATCTGTTTTTTGAAGAATGCTAAGTAACAATACCAATTGACCACAGTTTACAGCCACATTAAACAACTCTTGATGTGAATTAGGGTTCAATTTTCAAATGGAAACTGCAGCATCAGAGATAAAACTCATATTTCAAAAATTTTAGACAATTGCTCACTCCAGTACTAAAATGTCTGATTAAAATTGAATTAACAAAAAAAATATGATTTGTTAAAGAGAAAACCAACTAATAGTGACCACGAATATGCAGATATTCCAAATTGCAGCATTCTATCTAAATACAAAATAGCTTTGATCTCATATATTGCCAGATATCTAACTAAAATGGCATCAAAAAAAAATATCTGCATTATATATATATATATATATATATATATATATTTACATTATATATATATATATATATATATATATATATATATATATATATATATATATATATATATATATATATATATATATATATTTACATTATATATATATATTTTTATATGTGTGTGTGTGTTTAGTGATTTTAGTAAAGTACAACCAAATAAAAATAAAATACATATAATTATATATAAAAAAATTCTAGAAGGAACCCCTGAGTTGTGTGTACTCACAGAGCTCAGCTAATAGTTCATGCAGCATTTGTAAATTTGTGATATCTATTTGAAAAACTAATTAATAATAGTTTATTTTAAAAAGATATTCAGCTGCCTACCATGCAGTTGTGTTATTAACCTTCTAGCACACAGCATTGGGTAGTTAAGAACTAAAAGGTACATAAATTTGTACAAAAAACAATAACAATTAATTTATTGTAAAACTAAAATTAACAGAAAGTAAATAAATGAAATATAAATAAGAAATGAATAAAATTATTTTAGTTTTTCACATTTAAAATAATTATTAGAAAGTTGTTTGGAAATTTCTACTGATAGGTTATAACTAGTTATGAAATATTAGTGGAACCCAGTAGTTAACTACTAAATTAAAGTTAAAATTCTTTACTAATGTTAAATAAACTAATTTTTAATTAATTTAACAAAAAAATTTTATCTTATTTAATTAAAGTAAAAAAAAATTTATTTAATTAAAGTAAAAAAAAAAATTATTTAATTAAAGTAAAAAAAAAAAGGTATTACACAAACTTATTGTTTGAGTAAATTGTTAAGAGTATAATATTTATTAGTAATATACATTGTAATATATATATATATATATATATATATATATATATATATATATATATATATATATATATATATATATATATATATATATATATATATATATATATATATATATATATATTATTATTATATATATATTGCGATACTATAACAGTATAATATTTATCAGTAACATTGTTTGAGTAGAATATTAAGAGTATTGTTAAACAAAATATTATATATATTTAAAAAATTTACGTAAATATGTATTATTGTGTTTCTTTCTAAAACAATTGCTATCTAAAACCGAAAATTGAACTTTTTTTTTTTTTGAGGCTTGTACATTTATTCTTATATAAAAAAATATAAAAGTTCGCAACAAATATTAATTAACCAAATACGCCGCCATCTTGGGAGGCCAAAACTGGCTTCAAAAAATTTGCCGTATACGCTATCCAGTTATATTTTGAGATCAGTGGTTTTGAAGTAATAGAACTTAGTAGAGTACCTAGTACGTCCGAATAATACAAGAACGTTGAAAAAATGTTGCTTTTTAACAAACAATATCTAGTATGTTGGTTTTTAAACAAAATACATGGGTGATTTGATATTCTAAACATATAATAGTGTATTTCTAAGTTTTTTGAAGGTGATGTGATATTCTAAAATTCTAAGCACTATCTACAATATTGTTTTTTAACAAAGTATATGGGTGATATGATATTCTAAACATATATAAGTGCATTTCTAAATTTTATAAAGGTGATTTGATATTCTAACATTTTAAGCACTATCTAATATGTTGTTTTTTTAACAAAATACATGGGTGATGTAATATTCTAAACATGTAATAGTGTATTTTTTAATTTTATTAAGGCGATGTGATATTCTAACATTTTAAGCACTATCTAGTATGTTGTTTTTTTAACAAAAACATGGGTGATGTGATATTCTAAACATGTAATAGTGTATTTCTAAATTTTATAAAGGTGATGTAATATTCTAACAATCTAAGCACTATCCAGTACGTTGTTCATTAACAAAATACATGGGTGATGTAATATTCTAAACTTCAAATAGTGTATATTTCCAATTTTTATTAAAGCGATGTGGTATTCTAACATTCTAAGCTCTATATAGTTTGTTGTTTTTAAACAAAATACATGGGCGATGGTATATTTTTAATATATGATGGTATATTTTTAACATATGATAAACTTCAAATAGTGTATATTTTAATTTTATTAAGGTGATGTGATATTCTAACATTCTAAGCACAATCTAGTTTGTTATTTTTTAACAAAATACATGGGTGATGTAATATTCTAAACATGTAATAGTATATTTCCATTTTTTATTAAAGCAATGTGATATTCTAACATTCTATACTTTATATAGTTTGTTGTTTTTTTAACAAATTACATGGGTGATGTAATATTCTAAACTTCAAATAGTGTATATTTTAATTTTATTAAGGTGATGTGATATTCTAACATTCTAAGCACAATCTAGTTTGTTATTTTTTAACAAAATACATGGGTGATGTGATATTCTAAACATGTAATAGTGTATTTCTAAATTTTATAAAAGTGATGCAATTATCTAACAATCTAAACACTATCCAGTATGTTGTTTTTTAACAAAATACATAGGTGATGTAATATTCTAAACTTCAAATAGTGTATATTTGCAATTTTTATTAAGGCGATGTGGTATTCTAACATTCTAAGCTCTATATAGTTTGTTGTTTTTAAACAAAATACGTGGGCGATGGTATATTTTTAACATATGATAGTATTTTTCTAAATTTTATTAAGGGGATGTGATATTTTAACGTTCTAAGCACAATCTAGTTTGTTATTTTTCAACAAAATACATGGGTGATGTAATATTCTAAACTTCAAATAGTGTATATTTTAATTTTATTAAGGTGATGTGATATTCTAACATTCTAAGCACAATCTAGTTTGTTATTTTTTAACAAAATACATGGGTGATGTAATATTCTAAACATGTAATAGTGTATTTTTTAATTTTATTAAGGTGATGTGATATTCTAACATTCTAAGCACTATCCAGTATGTTGTTTTTTAATAAAATACATGGGTGATGTAATATTGTAAACTTCAAATAGTGTATGTTTTAATTTTATTAAGGTGATGTGATATTCTAACATTCTAAACACTATATAGATTGTTTTTTTTAAACTAAGTACATGGGTGATGTGATATTTTAAACAAATAATAGTATATTTCCAATTTTAATTCAAGCGATGTGATATTCTAACATTCTAAGCTCTATATAGTTTGTTGTTTTTTAACAAATTACATGGGTGATGTAATATTCTAAATTTCAAATAGTGTATATTTTAATTTTATTAAGGTGATGTGAAATTCTAACATTCTAAGCACAATCTAGTTTGTTATTTTTTAACAAAATACATGAGTGATGTAATATTCTAAACATGTAATAGTGTATTTTCTAGTTTTATTAAGGTGTTGTGATATTCTTACATTCTAAGCACTATCCAGTATGTTGTTTTTTAACAAAATACATGGGTGATGTAATATTCTAAACTTTAAATAGTGTATATTTTAATTTTATTAAGGTGATGTGATATTCTAACATTCTAAGCACAATCTAGTTTGTTGATTTTGAACAAAATACATGGGTGATGTAATATTCTAAACATGTAATAGTGTATTTTTTAATTTTATTAAGGTGATGTGATATTCTAACATTCTAAACACTATCCAGTATGTTGTTTTTTAACAAAATACATGGGTGATGTAATATTCTAAACTTCAAATAGTGTATGTTTCAATTTTATTAAGGTGATGTGATATTCTAACATTCTAAATACTATATAGATTGTTTTTTTTAAACTAAGTACATGGGTGATGTGATATTTTAAACAAATAATAGTATATTTCCAATTTTTATTAAAGCGATGTGATATTCTAACATTCTAAGCTCTATATAGTTTGTTGTTTTTAAACAAAATACATGGGCGATGTTATATTTTTAACATATGATAGTATATTTCTAAATTTTATTAAGGGGATGTGATATTTTAACATTCTAAGAACTATCTAGTATGTTTTTTTTAACAAAGTACACAGGTGATGTGATATTCTAAACATATAATACCTGTAGCATACCATATATTTCTTAGTTTCTTCAAGGCAATGTTATATTCTAAGGTTCTAAGCATCAAGTGCAAATAATTTTTATAACATTAATGAACAATATACATGGGGGATGTGACATTCAAAATATTTGTTTCTTATAGTGTGTAATATATTTCCTAATTTTATTAAGGAAATGTTATATTATAAGTTTTTAAACTAAAAGTACAACTAATTAGTATGATATTTATAAACAAAGTACATGGGGGATGTGATATTGTAAACATACAGTGATAGTTAGTGATATATTTCTTAATTAATTTGCTGGATGTGATATTTTAAGGTTCATAGCAGAAAATACAACTAATTTTTATGACATATATAAACAATATACATGGGGGTTGTGATATTTTAAGTAATATAAAACTGTTAGTTGACAATAGATTTCTTATTTATATCTAAGATTCAAAGCAGCAAATAAGACTAACTATGAAATTTTTTAACAATATACATTGGAATTGTGATATTTTATATATACAACATATATAATACTGGTAGTACATAGGGGGTATGACATTCTAAACATATTGGTAGTTTGTGGTATAATTATTAGTTACACTAAGAGAGTGTAATATTCTAAGCAGCAAATTTGACTAACTATGACTTATAAACAATATACATAGGGGATGTGTGTCTAAACAAAATACTATAATATGCGTTATATTTCTTAATTTTATTACGAGAGGAGATTTATTAGGATAGTATTCTAAGATGCTACTCTAAGAGATTTATTATAATAATATTCTTTTTTTAGGTTTCTTCTTGTTGTCCCTGGCCACTAGCATTATGTTTTGTTGCATGTTATCAGACTTGTATGGTCACTACTTTTGAAGCCTTTCTGACTGAACAATACCCAGCTGTTTGTCATCAATGCCATCTATATCATGTGATGTAACACTGACTGCTATCACTTTTAAAAAAAAACAGTTAGTTAAAGTCTTCTTCAATCTGTTTCACTCGTAAGATATTTATTTATATTATATATATTTTCCATTAAAATAAATACAGAATATCTTACCTTTAAGATTTATATATATTATTGTATATATTTTCCATTAAAATAAATACAGAATATCTTACCTTTAAGAGTATTTATAATTTTTTGCCTGATGTTGTCTTTAAGTATCCAATCTTCAATTGTAGATTGCAGCTACTAATGAAGTTTGTAGGCGAATACCTATACTATATCAAGCAGAAACCAAAGCAGTACAACCAGCACATATTTTTTCAGCACTTATGTTTATCATTATCTTATCCATCCTCCTAAACCAAATATGTTTATTCTTATCCAAATATTCTCCATCCTCCTAAACCAAATATGTTTGTTCTCTACTGATTTCTAGAATGATTGCTTCTGTAATATACATGTTTCTTTACTATTATGCATGTTTCTTTAATTTCTGGTCTAGGTAGAACTTATTATTCTCCACTTTGACATTCTGTTCAAAAACGAAAGTGTTTTCCATAAGTTTCTTTAATTTTTACTAAACTGTTTAATGAGTGCTTGACTGAATCTAAATCTTGACACCTGTCCCCTCTAACTGCTATCCAGTCAGTCTTCTCTATATTATAAGCAAAGTCTTTGATAATTGATCAACAAATTTCTAACATTCCAACTTTAGTCTAACATTTTACTCCCTGACAATCATTATGGCTTTTGAACTTCTTGTTTTAAGGCCGACTTGCTAACTGTAATGGCATGTTGGTCTTCTCCATAAGCTTGCTTCATGTGACGTATCTGAGAAAGTTTTTGAGTTTATCAAATCATTTCTTTCTAATTGTTTTATTAATGTCATCCTCGAAGGCTAACACTCTTCTTCGCTTCTAGTACCTTCTGGAGTACCTAAAATGGGTATACTTGGTCCTGTGTTATTTTTTATCTACATTAATGATCTTCCTGACAATATTACATCTAAAGTGGCTCTATTTGTTGATAACTAAACTTTACCCCTGTCTAAATAAAAAAATTTATCTCACTTTTGTAACAGCTTGGGGCTTGTAGTGCCTTTTGAATTTTAACTTCAACAAAACTCAGTTGCTTACTTCAACCTAACTCCAATTGTGGTAAAGTTGCATCTCCTATTTTCTACAAATGGTTGCTGCTCAAAGAAGCTATCATCTCTAGTTCCATTAACCAAAACTCATTCTCAATTGAATCGTCATTCAGCAAAGTCGCATTTTACTGTATCTGTTCCTGCATGCTCTAAAAATTATATAAACTATTTGTTTATTTTTTTCTTCGGACTGTATTTATCACAGTCTAATTATTTAAAAAATTGATTATATATTCTGTATTTTATTGAAGTATATCTTTTATTTAGATTTAGTACGAATCAGCAGTGAACTTATACAGAAATTATCAAACAAGTTGGAAGACTGAAAACTTTGATACACTCAAAAAGTCACTTTTCAAGTTTAATTATTTCCTTTCGAAATTGAATATACAATCAATACCAAATTAGAGTCACAAAGTTAATTTAACTTTCTTAAAGCAATATTTTAAATAAAAAAAAATTTAGAAGAAAACTTGTGATTGTTGTGTTGTTTCTTCTTCCTATAAATTAACCTTATTATTTAGCAACTAAATTTTCTTTTTAATTTATAATGTATTTTAAAAGAAAAATTTGAAAGAAAAAATGTTGTATTTTATAATATTAAAAAAAAAGAACTTTTCTATATTATCTAACTTGTTTTTTTATTATTATTTTGCTTGCATCGCTTGTTATGAATTAGGAAGTATTAATCAAGGAAGAAGAGTATATAATACTTTTTGTAACATCAAAAGTATACTTTTTGAAATATTAAGTGAAATTGAGCTTCATATATATTATAAGACTGTTCTCCTCTCATTTCGGTTTTATAAACATATTGCTCAGGATAACTAATTAGACGCTGATATAAAAGGAATTAATAAGAATAAAATCAGCATGCAAAAACTTTTTGTTTTATCTTTTTTTTAATATTGTAAATGCTTACTCGACAGTTTCAGTAGGCTTTTTTTAAATCATTTTCGTAAATCGACTTTTAGCTTGTTTAATCTGCCTAATCAAAGGCGCCAAAAAAAATTAGGCACTTTCTTTTTTGAGTAACTCAAACTATTAACCTGAGCAACATTCAAAGCAACTGTGCAACATAGTAACTTTTAATCTTGTTAAAAAGCAAAGAAATTATTGGTTTAAGATTAAAAAATAAAAATCGTTAAACGACTATGTATTCAATATATCAAAAGTTTTTTGCTCTTAGTGAGTACATTCTTATTCTAGTTCCGCAACATCTTCAAAATTGAATATTGTGCAGTTAAAAGATTATTATTTAGTGAATGCGTAGCACCAAAATAATTTCATTAAAGATTATTAAAGTGTTTAAGGATTCTTCGAGCTCAATTAGAATAGTAGAAAGATGAAGAGCATAACGTGGTTGTACAAGTTTTTAAGATGATCCACGTCAAGGTCGTACAAAAAGTGCATTACAAGAATATTACATTTTTAGAATATTACATCACCCATGTATTTTTTAAAAAACAACATACTGGATAGTGCTTAGAATGTTAGAATATCACATCACCTTAATAAAACTAGAAAATACACTATTACATGTTTAGAATATTACATCACCCATGTATTTTGTTAAAAAATAACAAACTAGATTGTGCTTAGAATGTTAGAATATCATATCACCTTAATAAAATTAAAATATACACTATTTGAAGTTTAGAATATTATATCACCCATGTATTTTGTTAAAAAACAATATACTGGATAGTGCTTAGATTGTTAGAATATTGCATCACTTTTATAAAATTTAGAAATACACTATTACATGTTTAGAATATCACATCACCCATGTTTTTGTTAAAAAAACAACATACTAGATAGCGCCTAAAATGTTAGAACATCACATCGCCTTAATAAATCAAAAAATACACTATTTTATGTTTAGAATATTACACCACCCATGTATTTTGTTAAAAAAACAACATATTAGATAGTGCTTAAAATGTTAGAATATCACATCACCTTTATAAAATTTAGAAATACACTTATATATGTTTAGAATATCATATCACCCATATACTTTGTTAAAAAACAATATCGTAGATAGTGCTTAGAATTTTAGAATATCACATCACCTTCAAAAAACTTAGAAATACACTATTATATGTTTAGAATATCACATCACCTATGTATTTTGTTTAAAAACCAACATACTAGATATTGTTTGTTAAAAAGCAACATTTTTTCAACGTTCTTGTATTGTTCGGACGTACTCGGTACTCTACTAAGTTCTATTACTTCAAATCGCATCCTCGTTTTCATTATTTCTACTGGTGCGGTGATATTCTAAGGTGCGGTGATATTCTATTACAGCACACTTGTTAACTCATCTTTCTTTTGATGCCAAATGGAAAAGATGAAATCTTTAAGGAGAGGTCCATTACACAATCACACTTCTGCTGCGATTTATGTCAGAAACCCTATTTGTAAATTCCGGGTAAATACAAGAAATTTATTCTGAGATCATTACTTTTTGTTTTTAGATATTGCAAACCAAATATGATTAAATGTACAGAATTTGTATTTTCTGGCATTAATACAAAAGATGTGCTATTTTTTGAAAAAAGGAGGCTTGAAAAAAATTTTTAAATGTAATTAAACACCTCCATTCTTCAAAAATTTATTTTTATTTGAAACGTCTTTTGTATAGTGCGACTGGATACCAATGTTGTATGTATAATTTTATTTGGGTTACAATGTTAGTTATATGAGTTTAGTTTATTTTATTTGGGTTATTTTAGTTCGGTTATAATAATCAGCGTAGATGATATTTCGTCTGACATTTTTTTCTCCTTTACTTTATGCAGTCAGCAGGACCGACGACACGGGTTTTGAAGTGGAGGAGGGGGGGGCACAATTATCAATTTGTGAAAAAAGTCCTCTATATCTTAACTAAAAAATTTCCTTAGAAAATCTTTTCTTAAAAAGTTATAACTTTTTAAGAAAAGATTTTTGTTATAACTTTGTCAAATCTTATTGAAAATAAAAAGAAAATATTTTTATAACCAACAAGCTAACATTATGTTATAAACTTATGCAAACAATAAACACAGATAAAAAAAAACATTAGTTTAAGTTTTTTAAGTGTTTCTATATAAAAAAAGATATTGTAAATGTTTATTTACATTTACTTACAAGGCCGGCGCGATAGGGGGGTGCGGGGAGGTATGACACTCCCCCTCCCCCCCATCAATGATTTTTAGTGGGCAAATTGAATCCTTAGTAGGCAAATTGGACCCTTTAGACTAGTATATATATATATATATATATATATATATATATATATATATATATATATATATATATATATATATATATATATATATATATATATATATATATATATATATATATATATATATATATATATATATATATATATATATATATATGTATATATATATATATATATATATATATATATATATATATATATGAGTATTGTCATACTCAAAAAGTTTTTGCCGCGAACGCACGTGTTTTTGACTGCTTTTCAAGAATATTAATTTTAAAAATGGAAATAACGATCAAAAATATCGAAAAAATATTACTAACAAGTTTGAAGAACAAAAAAGTTTGCTCAAAGAAACAGAAAGACTGTTAAAAGACCAAGAAAAAAACTTCACACAAATAGTAAGTGGAAATATAAAAATAATTACTGATAGACTCGACAAAAATGAATTAAATATCAACAAAGTAAATATGCGAAATTTTGAAAAGGACGTAAACGATGTGAAAGAAAGTCTCAACTTTCAAGAAGAAAAAATAAAGGAAGAATTAACACAAATAAGAAAGAGATATGATCTTGAAATTAAAAATTTAAATAAAAAAAATACTGACTTAGAAAACCGTTCTCGTCGTAACAACATAAGAATCGATGGTCTGAAAGATATGCCAGGAGAAAGTTGGAGTGACTGTGAGAAATCTGTGAAAAATATTTTTACAAATAATCTTAAAATTTCAAGCGAAGTTATTGTGGAACGAGCACATCGAATTGGGTCGTATAAAGAAGACAAAACACCAAGAACTATCGTCGTGAAACTATTGAACTACCAAGATAAAAATAAAATCTTAAGTTCACTTAAAAATCTAAAAGGAAGTGGAATATATATAAATGAAGATTTTGCTAAAGAGACAATGGAAGAGCGAAAGAGACTTTGGGAAGAAGTTAAAAATCTTCGCAATCAAGGTAAATACGCAACGATTAAATTTAATAAAATTTATTGTCGCGAATTTAGAAAATAAGAAAATAAGTTTTGCGTAAGTTAAAGCGATCGAAGCAAAGTTAATTCTTTTTACTTATGGCTAAACAAACAAAAGATTTCGAAACGCAACACTTTAATGTTTTCAAATCAGCCAATAACGCTTTACTTGATAACTTTTACGACCCAGATTTGCATTTTTTTAATGAAAATAATTTTAACTCGCGGTTTTTTGATTTAAAAACTTTTAAAAATGAATTAAAATCATTAAATAATAACTTTACGGTTATACACATAAACATAAGAAGTATAATTAACAATATTGACAAGCTAAAACATTTTCTTGTAGAATGTAATTTTTTGTTCAGTATGATTTGCTTAACAGAAACCTGGTGTTCTGACGAATCATCCAGAATAAATTCAAACTTATTAATTCCGAACTACAAACTAATATCTTACGAGCGAAAAGTTCAAAAACGAGGTGGTGGAATTATGACATATATTCATAATGATCTGACAACTAAAGTTAGAGACGATCTTTCTGTTTCTGATGCCGATGGTGAGGTCTTTACAATTGAAATAATAAACCAAAAGTTAAAAAATATACTGGTGCCCACCTGTTACAGACCACCTGAAGGTGATATAAAAAAATTTTCTAATCATCTAAAACAAATATTTCTAAAAAACAATAAAGAGCACAAAATATTATTCTGTATTGGAGACATTAACATAAACTGTTTACAGTACAATGAAGATGCTGTTACCAAAATTTTTTTTGATGATATGTTTCAACACTACATCTTCCCTATAATAAACAAACCCACCCGGGTAACATCAACTTCAATCACTGCAATAGATAACATATTGACTAATTCATTTTATGATTCTTCATTAAAAGCAGGTGTACACAAAACGGATATATCCGATCACTTTCCGATATACTTTTCTTTGTTTCAAGATACAAAAACAAACAACTCAAAAACCAAAGTCTATAAACGAAAAATTAATAAATTTACTATTCAACAGTTTAAAGACTCACTATCGGCAGTGAGATGGGATAAGATTTACCAAAAATGCAACCTTGGGCACACCAACTCTGCTTATAATGAGTTTTTAGAAATA